ACTCAGGAAGGCCGTGTTCTCTGGTGTCCAAGGTGAACATATGCAACAAAACCTGTCAAGCTATTGGCTGCCCAGGGGCCAATCAGATGCTCTCAATGGCATTAAGCTAGAGTGGGAGTGGGCACATGTATTGTGATGTCACAGATTCCAGACCTGCAGCCCCTTGAGCCAAGACCAGAGGAGGCACAAGTGGAAGCACAGAGGAGGAAGCTACCATGAGATGACAAGGGACCCAGGGCAGCCGGAAGATGGTAGAGCAGGTACAGGAAGCCACCCTGGACTCTTCCACAACCCAGAAGCAAAGCAGCAAAAGGGCCCAGAGGGGCCTTCTAGAAATTAGTGTTGGGCAGGTCAGAACTTAGAGGGATTTGAAATTAGACCACAGGAGTAGAAAATAAGGACAGAATTATTTGACCCCAAACACTAACCACGGTGGAGTAGGGAGACAGGGAGTGGTGGAGGAAAGAGAGAGAGAAAGAGGAAGAGAAAAAGCCCTCATCTCACTTGCTCAATAACAGCTAGAAAGAGAAGCAGAGTAAGTTAAAGTGGGAGGATCAGCAAAGACTGTGAAGGAGGTCAAGCAGCTGAACCCAACGTGCAGGCAGAGAGCCGAGCTAGGCAGGGTGGCCACATGCTACAGTCTATAGCCTGCCCCCTAGAAGAAATTAAATGAACACAGCTTCTTTCCATTATCTGATAGCAGCAAATAAAACTAAAGGGAACATCTCTGGAGTGGGTTGTCTCAGGAATCCATCTAGAAGGAACGTGTTTCAGGGATTTTTGCTAGATAAAGGTTACAGAAACCCCCTCCCCATTACCTCAGGCAAGGGGAGTGGGGTGGAGCAGAGCTGAGCTAATCACTCTCAAAGGGTGCTAACCCCCATCTAGTGCTCCCACAGCATCTTCGAGAGCTCAGATCCCACCCCTGTCAGTGATGGGCCAACCCTGGTGATCTGCGGAAGCAAGGGTGAGGCTTCGGGGTCAGAGACCACCCCCACAGAGACTGCATCCACAGGACCCCCAGTTACATACAACCAACAAACACTTAGCACCACAACCAAAAAGCCCCAGCAGAGAGGAATGGGAGCTCAGGGATGTATGGCTGCCAGCTGTGGGAGCTCAGAAGAAGGTGGGCCAACTGCAACCCTGCCATGGGGATGGTACCCCATGATTGACATCAGCCAGGGTGGAGGCTTCTGCACCACAGCCTGCCCACAGAAGGCCTACATTCACAGCCCAACAGTCAAAGACAATATGAAGAAGCCCCTGAGGAGGGATTTTAAAAGCTACAAGAGAAA